GCAGGACGTCCCCAAGAAGTATCGGCCCGCCGTGGAGTGGCTGCGCATGGCCCATCGGGACGGCACGCCCGTCTATCGCTACGAGGAGGTGGCCGGGCTGAGGGGGCAGTATCGGGAGCCCAGCATGGAAGCGGAGCCGATCCGAGCGAAGCCGCCGTGGCGCCGAGTGGAGGACCCTGTGAGCCACTGCCTGGACGGCGAGAGTCTGCTGCTGACGGGCTTTCCGGGGACCGGGAAGACCCATCTGGCCAAGAAGATCGTCGAGGCTTTGCGGGAGCACGGCGACACGGTGCATATCATCACCAAGACCCACGCGGCCGTGCAGAACGTGGGCCTTTTGCAGCGCCATCGCCTACGCTTCGGTTCAGGGCCTGACTCTGAGGGGACGGGTTTGGCTTTACGACGTGGAGAGCCCGCACTTCACGCTCAAGCATCTCTACATGGGCTGCTCCCGGGCGACCAATTCGGAGCTTTTGAGTGTGCTTTGAGGGTGATTGTGTAAGTCCACAACATCCGTAGTCTATGGTTTTTGACTTCAACTTGAGCGGTTTTTGCGGCCCTGTCAGCATTCGCCAGATCTGGCGAGTTGTGACAGCGGCCCGTTTTTTGATCAAATTGAGCGTTTTTTGGGGGGGATGCCAAACCGGGCGAGCCCCGGAATCAAACCGGGCGAGCCCCGGAATCAAACCGGGCGAGACCCGGAATCAAACCGGGCGAGACCCGGGATGGAACCGGGCGAAACCCGGAATGAAACCCGAGTGCTGGAATCGAAGAAATGGCCGCTTTAAGAGGGGGACGAGTCTCCGACCGGTCCATTCCTTCGGTCTGTACCCAGACGAGCCAATTAATTATTTATTTATTTTTTTTTTTATTTTCGGGCCGGCCTGGGGCTTGTCATTTTTGTCATTCCTTCGGCCTGTACCCAGACGAGCCAATTAATTAATTATTTATTTTCTATTTTCGGCCCGGCCTGGAGCTTGTCATTTTTGTCATTCCTGTCATTCGACTTTGCGGCTCAAAAAAGCACAAAAACCGCCATTTTCAGTCCGCCCCGGACAGTGACAAGAATGACAGGAATGACAAACCCCAGGCTGGCTCGAAAATAAAAAAAAATAATTGCTCGTCCGGGTACAGGCCGAAGGAATGACAAAAATGACAAGCTCCGGGCTGGCCCGAAAATAAAAAATAAATAATTAACTAAATGGCTCGTCTGGGTACAGGCCGAAGGAATGACAAGCTGCCAGATCAAGTAACTAATCGTCGTCAGAAGGGACACCGCTGGGGCTCCTCGTCCTTCAGCATGAGATCGGTCTGCCCGCTCATCATCCAGACCTGCTTGAGCTCAGCTCGCACCTTGCACTGCCGGTTGGTCAGGTCCCCCAGCTCGTGCAACGGTTGCATCTGGGCATCCCAGAGATTCACCCGGTCCAGGCAGACTTTGAGCTTGATGAAGGAATTCTGTCGAGTGGAGGTCTTGAGACAGGAGACGAAGCGGCTCTCCGTGTCCTGCGTGGTCAGCATGCGGCCGAAGAGCTTCGGATCCGCCATGGAGCGGCTGGCCAGCTGGGCCACCAGAGTCTTCTCGAATCCGGCCAGCTCCGCCATCGCCCCTTCGCTGGGCTCCAGGCACAGTGGCAGTCGCCGGGCGTCCTCGCCATTGTAGGCCGAGGGGTGCCACAGGATGCGAATCCAGTCCCCGAACTGCCAGACCGCCGCCCCCCCATCCTGCGCAGAGACGGGGAAGAACTTGCCGCCCTTCGGATTGGCCAGGAGGTCTCCGAGCTTGATCGCCGCGCTTGGCTTGCCGCTCATGCTCCCTTTTCTCCCCCCAATAAAAAAAATGCCGCTCGACGAACGCACCTCCTTCCCCTTGCCGGGAGAGTGCCTCTGCGCCGCCGTTTCTCTGGCCGGCGTCTTCGTCGCCCTGTGGCTCCTCTCCGCCCCCGGTGCGCCGCCGCCAAGCCACCCCATGCGGCTGCGGGGCCCGTGGCACGAGGGGAACATCACATAAAATGTGTTGCTGCCTCGAGTGCTACAAAGCGCTTTGGGTAAATGGGAAAAGTGAAGCTCTTCCCGACCGACGAGTACACCTCAAACAGCCACGCGACCCGATCGTTCCCCGCGTGCCGTGCACTGGGATCTTCCTCGGGCCGAGCAAATCGGGGAAGACGGTGGCGCTCATCAGCGCGATCCTGGACCAGTATCGCACGAGCTCGGGGGACTCGGTTTTTGAGCGTATTTACATCTTTTCGCCCAGCATTGAGATCGATGATGCCTGGAAGCCCGTCAAGCGCTTCATCGAGCACGAAATGGGCGTAAATACGGACCGGGAGCAGGTCTACTTTGACAAGTGGGACGAAGCAGCCCTGCGAGGCATCATCGAGCAGCAAAAACGGATCACTCGCAAGACCAAGGAACCAGGCTTCAAGAAACTGTACGAAATTTTGATTTTAATCGACGATTTCGCCGACCAGCCGGAGCTCCACCGGCGCACCGGCGACGGGGCGCTGGACACATTGTTCATCCGCGGGCGACACATGCAAATCTCCACATGGGTGTCCAGTCAAAAGCTGCGGCTCATCAGCGCCGCGGTCCGGGTGAACATGCAATTCATGTGCGTCTGGCGCCTCCGAAACCAGCTTGAGCTTGAGGCCGTGCTCGAGGAGCTCACGGCGCTGCTACCCAAGCAGGAGCTGCAGGCGATCTACCAGGAAGCGACACGGGAGCCCTACAGCTTCCTGTTCATCCACTACCTGAAGCCCCGCGCCGAGATGTTCTACCAACGCTGGGAAGAACGCTTTGTGATCGAAAATGGGGAACCTGGTGAGCCAGGCGGTGGGCAAGCTGCTGGGGGGCGGCCCGCTCTTGGACAGTGAGTGCCACTGCTGCAGCAGCCAGCGCGTCGTAGATCCCCGCTGGCCCTATCCCGAGCGGGCCCGGCAAATCAGCGACAGCACGGCCTCCGAGAAGTCGACGGGGCGGAGTTTGTTCCGCAGAAGGAAAAGGCACATGACGACGATCTACGTGGACTCCCGGAAGCGGGTCGCCGGAGACGACAGCAGCTTCGAGTTCGACGTCGGGGAGACCATCCACTTGCAGACGGGCGCCAGGCTCTCGGTGCTAAAGTTCCGGGTGGCCGATGCCTTCCTCTCCACGGACCGCGGCTTCTACATGTACTGGATCGACGACGCCCTGCGGACCCTCGACTGGGCGGTGCTCCCGGTGGGCGCCTACACCGGCGCGCGCCTGGCCGCCTGGATCAGCAGCAACTACGGCTCCGCGACCTATGTGGAGCAAACGAATGAAATCGGAGTGGCCTACGACGGGAACCGCCGCATCCTGAACGACTACGAGATCCGGAGCCTCTTTCCCGGCTCCGGTTCCTACTCTGCGGGCGCCACGCCCAGCCGCCCCCTGAGCATCAATCATCTCCTGGGACCCTCGTTCATCGAGGGCGCCCTCCAAATCTTCACGTTCGTCACGATGAACCCCTACAGCGAGCTGTTCCTCCGCTGTTCCACGCTCGCCACCGCCGCCGACATCAAAGGCCCCCTTGGTCAGGACATCGTCGCCAAAATGATTATCGACAAAGGCGTCGGGAACATCATGCAAACCAGAACCGACGAAGGCCATTATGTCAGATTGCACGGGCCCATTACGCTGCGCACCCTGCGCTTTAAGCTCACCGACGTAGACGGGAACGTGGTGAATACCCGTGGCACCTCCGTGTCCTTTGCGATTTTCTTGGACTACGAACAATAATTTCTTTAATCAACTTAAAATGGCGGAGAATGTGGAACCGCCCGTGGTGGAGGAGGCTCCTGCGCAGCCTCCGACGGATACCCCAGAACCTGAGTCGGCTCCGGAGCCTGCTCCGGTCCCCGTGCCTGAGACGCCACCAGCCCCCAAGCGCCGAGGCCGTCCACCCGGAAGCAAAAACAAACCCAAGCCACCGAAGACCGTCCCGGTCGAGGAGGTCGCAGCACCGACTCCCGAGCCCTCGCAGTTTGCGACGGCTCCAAGGGTTGCAGAGGCTTCCGCGCCTGCCCCCGCTCCCGAGCTCGCCCCGGGGCCAGTTCCCCCGCCAGTGGAGCCTGTGAGGATGACCCCCGCTCAGGAGCGAGCTCTCCGCTACATGCAGCGACAGGACCGCTACATGGAGCTCCTGGCGAGAAACACGCACGAGATCTGATGCGTTCGCCGGTCGGCAAAAAAAAATGTCCAGAAAAAAATGGAGGATCCTCTGAACGAAGGGCCCTTGGTCGACGAGCTGCTGGAGCTTCAAGAAGCGCGGCGCGCCGCGGACGCTTGTGAGGAGAAGTTTTGGGCCCAGTTTCAAAATCTGGGCTCTGAGCACTGCGAAGCGATCGTGCGGGAGCTGAAGGGACTGCGAGACGCCGAGGGCGCCGCGATCTTCGCCCGTCGGTACATGGGCTGGGAGATCTGCAACAATCCAGAGTGGCTCCTGGAAGAGGTGGAGTTTCTCCGGTCCATCGGGTCCATTTCCCAGGCCGCCCGGACGGCGACTGGCAAGTACCCACCGAAGTCGGTCCTTGACCCCTTGCCGACCTAACCGTCGGTTGAGTTTAAAGGAGATGATGCCTCTCGAGCGGCGCAACGAGCCCCAGATGCTGAGACAGTTCAGCAAGATGTATCCCAGCTACAACCTCTGGCCCCTGATGCGCCGGCGGCACCACCAGCTCGTCGAGGCCCAGGCCTTTTTGCTTTGCACACGCAGCGAAGTCAAAACGCCTAGCGAAAACTGCGGAACAAGTCGTTAACGACTCGGCAGCTCGAGACTGCTATGACAAAGTCATATCCCAGCTACGAAGCGAGCCCATCCCCACTCGCAGCGAACTGCAGGCAGATGGGGCCGACCTGTACAGCAAGAGCTATTGTCTTGCGAGCGAGCTTTTGCGTACACACCAAATAAGATAAATGTTATTAGCAATGGTTTGCATGTCAGTAGAAAGCAGACGAACAGCAGAAGTATTGTCATCAGTATGCCAAGCACAGTTAGGAAGCGTGAAACTTGAAGCCCCGTCCTCAGAATCTCGCTCAACCTGGGTGGGAGCGTTTTGCACAAGAAGAGCACGATAGTGACCACTCGTGGGCGTGTTGCCCAGGTGGTAGACTCCAGCAACAATGACATATTCAACGTCGCGTGTGCTGAGGCCTTCACTAAAGCAAGGCAGTTTGACGCAACCGTCCCACGTGACGGAGGCCTTGTTTTTGACCCAGCGTTTGGTACGCATGCGGAAGCGGAGCAACTGCAGCATAAGGCATGGCACCTCATGACAAAGGGCATGTACACCAACCTGCCGGTGCCAGATGTCAACGCACTCCTGTATCGTGCAGGGGTTGGCTGGTACAGACAAGGTTATTGGTGCATGTAGCGGTCCCGTGTCAACATCAGAAATCCCCCGCTCATCGATGCGCGAGGCCCATGAGCCTCGCATGAGGGTGGGACGAATTTGCGTAAGTATGTGGAGCGCAAATTCACAAACATCGTGCTGCACATTGGGCCTTGGCCACCGCTGAAGCAGTGCCCCCCACTCCAAAAGCGCCGCGAGCCTACGAGGGGCGGAATGCACAAGTTGATGACCCAAACCGAAACCTCGACCTAGGCACTCAAGTCCACTGTCGACTGGTCCCTTGGCCTACAGCATAGACCAAATCCAGGAAATAGCAAAGCTGTTCATGTAGCAATGTTGACCGGGATTTTGAAGTGCTAGGGCGCGCACGTTCGCCCAAGCATCTGGCTCAGACGAGTTGCCGCTGCATTCCGCTTGATTCGCTCTCGGCGCAGCTTGCAGCCCACGAAGTTCATCACCGTGCTTTGGCAAATGATGCAAAGTGCTTCGTGGAGTTTCTGCGCATGGTCTCCGCGATTGCTCACCTCCACCAGGAATTGGACCTGTTCCGTGGTGTATGTTTCCGCTTGCGGCTTGATGCTGTGAAACCTCTGTAGTGTTTCGCCCGTCGCTGTGTTCACAATTGTTTGCAGTGCCTCCACCACATCTGATTGCGGCAACGGCCCCCTCTCCGGCATGACCTTTTCGCTCTTCGACTGCGGGTCCCACTGCATGTACTTCCACATGACCTCCTGTCCTTCCTGCTTGCTGATCCACCCCGTCGCGATGGTCTTCTTTACTAACGCCACATCTTGATCCAACTTGCGTACACGAGCCAGCAGCTCGCTGAAAAGGCATTGCCACAGCGTCACCCGCAGGGACGCCACGGTTTTGCCTTCTTCCCTGGCCGCTTTCCAACTTTGGCTTATGGCGAACAAGTTTGATAGTAGGGACTCCGGAGCCTGAACCTTGCAGTACAGGATGAAACCCCTGTCCAGCAGCAACAGGTTGACTTGATCGCTTAAGCGCAGACACATCACCGCCATGAGTTGAATCGACTCCCTGAGTTTCTGATCTGAGTCGACGGCCATCTGCGTGGAACCATTCTTGGATCGTTGATGGCCTTTGCCCTTGCGCTCGCCCTTGCCTTTGCCTCCCTTGTGAAACTTCTGTGGCGGTTGTGGTGTTTCTGCAGGCTTCGGTTCCAGGGGATGCTTGTTGTTCAACTTCATCGCCTCGGCCATAGCTGGAAGCATGTGCTGAAATAGCGTGAGTTGCTGCATTGTCGGATCCTCCTCGCCGGAGCCTGGCACTGAAGGCAATTTGGAAGAGGACAGTGCAACCCCTGGCATGTCGGGACTTCTTGGTAAAGCCAGCCTTGCAGTAAGGACATGGCGACAAGAATGTAGGCTCAAGAGCAGCGCAATTGGCAACTGCACGCTCTGCGTGAAGCTGGTGAAGCTCTTTATGGGTACAGGCAATGTGGGTCTTAAGACGTCTGGGGTCAGAGAACCATTGCCTACACACGCAGCAGTGATGTAGCAACTCTTCGCGACGTTGGGGGTCACCGTTCAGGTACTCAAGTACTGCAAGATGACCATGATGCATCAACTTGTCTAGCAGAGCGTGTTGCTGCGAGAATGGCAGCGGTGTGTCAACTGGTGTTGGCATCCCGGCTCCAGTGCAGCGACCAAGAGCAATGTGGTTATGAAGTTTTTGCCAGCTGCAGAAGTTGTGACCGCAGCCTGTACACACGGGCAGTCCACCAAGTGCAGCAGTCGAGCGATCTACGGCCACAGGTTTCGGCTTCTCGACCTCCGGATGTTTAATTGCGACATGTGTCTTAACAGCACGATTGTTGAGGAAGTACACGCCGCAGTGAGGGCAGGCTACACCTACTGAACAGGCGGGGACAACAGTTAGGTGTACAGCAGCAGCATGATTGCGATCCGTCGCGAGCCTGAGTTGTCGACACATGGGAGCAAAAGGTGAGCCCGGTCCCAGTTGCAACAGATCGTTTTGGAGCAGCCTCTCATGAAACTGTGTGGCGATCTGCTGGAGACTAGGACCTGGTAAGTGCAGGTGGAGTCGCTTGTACAATTCATCATTAGGCACATGTGTGATGTGTCTGGGTAGTCTCGCGATAGAGCGCAGATGTGTAGCACAGACCCCCTGCAGTTTCAGCATCATGGCACCGGTGAGACCGTAGCAAGTAGCCCCATAGACCAAGGCCTGCCAAACACAAGCGCGCCACATCATCGCACGCCGTTGGGGTGAGAGGTGCCTTCTGGAAGTCAAGACAGGCTTAAGTCGAGTGAAGTTGTTGCGACCCTGCGCAAGACGATGCTGAAAGGATTGAACCTCGAAGTCATGAAGCGAAACAATGCATCCGAGGTAGGGATGTTGCCTGACGACGGGGAGCAACTCGGCCCTGAGACCCTGAACACGGAGAAAGGTGCCCTGTTGTTTCTTGACCATATGCTCCTGAATAAGTGCCCGGCCCTCCGCAGAGGCTACGCGCACAAGCATAGCTGTTTTGGAGAGGTTGATTCGCATGCCAAACTGCCTGAGACCAGTCAATAGAGTTGGTATTTCCCGCAGCGCCTTCAGCAGGCCTGGCCTGTCCGAGAAGAGCCAAGACGATAGGAAATCGTCAGCATAAATCACCAAGTGCTCCTGAACCCAGCTAAGAGATAAACCCCTAAGGCGGCGTGCAACATACGCTGTATATGTCGACCAAATGAGTGGGCTAAGCACACATCCTTGTCTAACCCCGCGCGTGGTGCGAATGTTGATGTCGACACCGTGGTGCTCAATATGGTAGGTGGCCTGCAACCAGGAAAGGATGAGGTTAACCTCGGAAGCTAGTAGCCCAGCCTCGGTGAGTGCAGCCTGTATGTGGTGCCGCCCTACACAGTCGAATGCAGCAGAGAGATCAAGAGACAGGATTATGCCGCCCGCGTAGGGCTTGGATGCGGACTTGTCGCCGCTGCGCCGGTTTGCATATCTCTCGTACACACTTGGCGCGGCTTTCTGGGCCTCAAGCCGAATATCCCCACACCTGCCAAACACTTGAAGGAGTGCAGTTTCAGTGGACCGCTCACGGACATACGCATGCTGTGGCGTGACAGAGATATATGCCTCCAGTCGATCCTGCACTGTCCTCTTGACGTTGCCTAGCACCGCTTTGCCAATGGGGTCAGACAAGCACAATGGTCTGTAGTGTTCAGGTCTGCGCCCTTTCTTGGAGGCCTTGTGCATAAGTTTGAGCCACCCGTCTCGCCAGAGTTCTGGAACCTGTTGATGCTCCACCCAACATTCGTCAAGGATGGCTGCTACGTGAGGTGCAATAGCAGGCGCAACAATGCGCCACGCGGGGCCTGGCGCTATGTGCGGAGGCGTAGCCTTGTTCAAAGGTACACGTTTCATAGCATCATGTAACGCCACTGCCGAGGGCGGACACGGAAAAACACCCGAAGGGGGGGTCCAGGCATCTCCCTCGAACACTTCACGGAAATGTTTGCGGAGTTCCTCAGCCTCCTGAGCTATCGACAGAAACGTGCCATCTTCGCCCCAGATCTGCACTCGGGTGTGGCGCTGCCTAGGCGCAATTTGCCTCACAAGGCTGTACAGACCATGCATGTCCTGCTTCTGTGCAAACCGATCGGCCTCCGCAAGAAGAGAGTCCAGTCTGTCCGTTCTGGCTCTCCTGGAGGCCTTGTGGGCATGCTTACGAAGAGCTCGAAACTTGGCGAAATGGAACCAAGCACGGATCAAGGACTGCGCAGATTGGTCAGGCTGGCCTCGGTATGAACGCCAGTGTTGCCAGAGGGCCCCTACAGCAGTGCGGACCTGTGGATGTTGATAGGCGTGTTGTTGCTGCTTGGAGCTCCTGGCCGGTAGGCATCTAACACATGCTTCGTTGACAGCCTTGTGGATTTCCTCAATACTTGAGGGTGGTGACAGTGCCAGCTGGGACGCAACATGAAGCCTAATTGCATCTCCTGTCGGGGTACCGACAGCGGCTCTGAGAGCGGCCACGTCGTATGGGCGTGTCCTCGGAGGCTGCGGCGTCCACATTTGCCATCGGACGGGCAGATTCAACTCAAGCGGCCTGTGTTGTCCAGAGATACGCCAGGACGCGACCTGGAACGATAGCAATGGGCAACATTGCTTTAGTGTTCCATTGACCTGATGCGCGCGACAGAGCACATAGTCGAGCTGAGTCCGATGGCCCTGATGGGAATATGTGTGTGCACGGCGATGACCTCCGTTCCATGTGTTCAATGCACACAATCTATGTTGTCGCAGAAAGTCTTCATATGTATCCAGGTCCCTGGCGGCTTGAACCTGACCTGGTCGTAATGAAGTGGAGTCTCCCACCAAATCCTCAAGTCTGCTTAGCTGTACGTTGAAGTCGCCTGCGCATATGCACATGTTACGCGCAGGGAGTGTCCTGATCAGAGTGCCGATAGTGTCAAGGAGTTTGCCTCTGCGGGCGGTTTGCTCGACAAGTGGTTGTCGGGTGTCCCAGGCGTATTGGTATATGTTGATGAGATCAAGGGCTCGATCGCCGAGTGTAAGGCGAGTGTGAAGCACCCTACCCTCCTGCACAGCACGACTGCGAATGCATTGCACGGGGCAGAGGGTGACATCTATCATCGTTAAGACACCGCATCCCTTTTTCAGCTCCGAATGCGTGAGGCACCAACGTCCAACCCTCCATTCGGAGCTGAAGCACCAGCCCGTTTCTTGTAACATGACTATGCGTATGTTTTTGTTTGCAGCAGTGTCAAGCCACAACATCAATTCGTCCAGGACATTGTTACTGAGGCCCCCAACGTTCCAGCATAGGGTTCTGATAAACCGGACATCCGAAGACCTAGCGACTCGAGAGCGATCACGGCGAGGAACTACTTCAGCTGCAGCCCCGTGTGGCAGTGTGGTCTCAGTGGCCGAAACTGGACCCCCACAAACCCCCATTTTGGAGTCGAAACTGGGGGTTTGTCCGGGTGCACCAGATGTGCGCGACGCCGCCCTAACACCTCTTAACTCATGTAAGCTTCTGACGCGACCACGATACGTTGTTTGGCCATGCTGCTCAGCTCGCCTGATGGCACGGCGCAGGGCTCTCTTACGTGGCTCCGACACGGTTGGGCGGGGACCTCGCGAGATGTGTCCATCCTGCAACTGCCACGCGGTAGCAGTGACGGTATCAGCACCTGTCCGCATGGGCGTGTCCCTAACTACAACCCCCTGGGCAACGCTTACGAGCATGAAAAGCAAGAGCCAGCGAAATTGGGTGGTCCTGCAGAAGACTGCTCGGAAGTTGTCGTTAACTCGTCTCGCAGTATGCACCTGCACAGTTGCAGAACCAGGACTGATGAGGGTACGAACCCCAGCTGAGCAGTCAGGCACCAGCCGTGACTGAAGGAGCCGAGGGCGTAGCACGCTCATGAGTGCTACTGCGGTACGTGGAATGTAGGACCTGCATATCCAAGCAGCACGGTGCAGCAAGACACACGTCGCAGCACGAGGAAGGCAGTTGAGCACACAAAGGCAAGCAAACAGGCAACACAACAGACACAGTCCCATGTGTGCCTCTGTCGTCGTACTGATCCTCTGCTCACCATGCTTCGCTAAGCGACCAGCAGAGGCATGAAATGCGATAGCGCTCAGGTCACGGCTCTGCACCGAAGCAGGCGAGGCCACCTCCAAGCCGTGCACTATGCCATCGGGCGCAGTGCTCAAGCACCAGAGGCGAAGTAGGCAAGCAAATCCCGAGAGCCAAGCAATCCCAGGCGAGGACACCTCAAGCCCGGTTTGCCATAGACTCGAACTGTGCAAGCACCCATTGTACGACTGATCAACTAAAAGAACAGCACAATTGAAAATGTGATGTTGAACTCGCTGCAAAAGTACAGGTACGGTTGGGCCCACACCGAGGTTGTGGACGCCTCCACTTGGCTTCGTCGCCAGCGGCGCATCTCTGTGCAGGATTTCGTGTTCGACTCCAGCTGGCACTGCGGACATGCCAGCAACCCTCACCTCACCCGCGCAAAGATGAATCAAAAACCTGAGTGCTCGAGCAGGTCTGGATGCGCAGAAGTGCCCGTGTTGCGTTGCGCGGGGCTGGGACTTGGGACCCAGCAAGCTCAAAACGTTATGAGAGCCACCATGCAGATAGCTCACCTGACATCGTGCTGTAGGCAGGGCAAAGGTGCAGTGACTGTCGTGGGGCCCAGACGAAGATGGCCTAACATAGACAAATCGGTGCGGTAAGCGGAAAAGACGGCTGCGAGAAGCATGGGCAATGTAGTGTTGCTGAGAGGCCCAGCTCTGCCACACTGCGGATGCAAGCTCGAAAAACCACCTACCCCAATCAAACCGCAACCAAACACCCCAAGCAAAGAAACCAAGTGGAAGTGAGAAAGCTTGACGCGAAATAGGCAAATTGCACGTGCGTCGTCGTCGTCGTCTGCTCACACTGAGAGCCCACCCTGGTCTACGGATGCGAAAGGGGGTGCACTTGTCACCAAGTATGCGGTTCTGCCAGGCATTGACAGGACTGCGCTGTCCAGCTGCGTGCGAGGCGTGAAGATGAAATTGAGAGACACCGTCTAGGCCAAGAAAGCACTGATTACGCATGTAAGCATGTGAAATTCGAGCACCGTGCTCACGCAGCATGCTGTCACTTGCAACCGAGAAAGCCCCAGGCAGAAGGGTGAGGCCGTTGCCAATCAGAACTGAAGACTGGATAGAACACCAGGCCCAACCGAGATCAGACGGCTTGCACACAGCTACGCTGCTGCACGCATGGATTTCAATGGGTCTAACAACCATGCTGGCACGCCAAAAACCAGAGGCGACACACAGTGCACAGGCACTCAAGGAAACACTGTGACAGGTCTTGACGCATTCCACATGTGATGCGCAGCTTGCCTGCTCTGGCACACTTCTGACACTCGTGTTGGCAGACTGGCCGAGAGTGATTCCCAGCACTGGCTGCACGAGCAAGCCTGCGGCTAACATGGCTAACACAGAGAGAATCCATGCTTCACGGGCGGCCATGGCACAAGAGCTGGACAGCTACACCCTGAACCAACAGGAGGGAGAGGGGCAACACAACCCCACACAGACCCCACACCAGCCCCGAACTACAGCACAGACACGCTTGAGCCCAGAGGCTTAGGCCCAGGCCTTCAACGAGTGGCTCTCGAACCGCCGCCTCCGCCAGGAGGGCGAGA